GGCTAAGGAGATTGATAACTTAGGTTTTAAACTTCGGTATTCTGGTAATAGTCACACTAGAAATGGTGTAGGTGTTATTATAGATAAGAGTTTAAAAGATAATGTTGTAAAAATTAATAGATTTATGCTTCTCAAGTAGGTTTTTAGATATAGGGTTTAAAGATAAATTATGGAATGATTTAGAAGATTTAATACAATTGATATCTCTTGAAGAAAGAATTTTTATTGGAGGAGGTTTAAATGGACATGTCAGTAGAGTGGTAGAAAATTTTAGAAATATTCATGGTCGCCACGATTTTGGAGTGACTTATGAAGAAGGTAGAGCTATTTCAAACTTTGCCTTAGTATATGACTTTGTTATTACTAATATTTTATTCAAGAAAAGAGATGAGCATCTTATTACTTATAAGAATGAATCTAATAAAACACAAACTAATAAGAATGGATCTAATAAAACACAAATTGATTATTTTCTTATGAGAAGAAGTAATCGTTGATATTGTAAGGATTGTAAGGTCATTCCAAGTGAGGATTTAAGTACCTAACATCATTTATTAATTCTAGATTTGAAGATGAAGAGTGGTAAAATAAACAATACTATGACTCATCATTGTAGAATTAGATGGGGGAACCTAAAGGACATAAATAAAAATTTTTTTATCAGTAAAATTCAAGATTTCAAAATTTGGGATGTTCATGATAAAACAAATGATATATGTGATAAAATATCAAATACTATTAAACAAGTAGCAAAAAATGTACTTGGAGAATCAAAAGAAAAAAAATTCTTTAAATAAAAAATAGTTGGTGGTGGAATAATAATATTAAAAAAAAGATAAAATATAAGAAGCCTTGCTATTTTTTTTTTTAATGTCAAAGCTTAGAAAATTGGATAACTGCCCGCAAGAAGTCTAGAAGAACAATATGCGACGCTAAAAATTATGTTTTTAATGATATTTAGAATAGATTAGATACTAAAGAGAGTGAAAAATATATGTATAAACTAGCCAAACAAAGAGAAAAAAAA